CATCATTTTTTTCAAATTCATGGAATTTCTCCTGTAATATTTGATTTTGGAACGGTGCAAAAATACCATTTCTGACGCCTTATTTATTCATAAGCTCGGTCGGACTCTTGGTTCTGGCTGTTTTAGTGTACTTTTAAAATAATACTTCCAGCAACCAGGTAGTAAACACTAACAAAATAGCCTTCATTAGCAACCCTCATTAATTTTTTTAACAGTCTTATCCCAGCACTGTGACTATGCCTCGCTGATACAACGATTATATAAGTTATTTGGATGCAAAAAAATCAGAAATCAACAAAATGAAGAAGTTGACAGTTACATCCACAATGGGAAAGGAAATCCGGAATAAAGCTAGCGAATGCTAAGAGTAATATTATTAGGAAAATTCGAGAAAAAACACAGTTCGCTAAGGAAAGCGTACTTTTTTTAATAAAAACATACTTCCAAAAATTCGCGGACTTTTCCGTTGAAATGAGTGACTAATGGAATCGGCAGATCGGCATCGTTCAAAGTTACACACAGCATGGCACATGGATATTCCTCGGGAATTTTGCATTTCAATTTGACAGCTTTCATATCGAAAGCCTAAAATTGAGATTTTTCTCGGCAAACAGTAAAAACCGTCCAAGTGGAAAATCAAAATCTACACATCTGATATAAGCAAACGGTGATAATCAGCTAAATTTTAACAAAACCTAGCCGATATCATCAAAAAAAAAGCATAAATCACTCTCTATGAGAAGCGAAGGCGGAAATCCTGAAGCAGTTCCAATGGCAGCACGTACCAAAAAGAACTACTCGTGGCAAGGCTGACGATGGCTTTCATCCGATGGCTGTTTAAAAAAAGCACGCTGGTGATGGCTACTTTCATAAATAGCGATTTGCCATCGAAATGCGTGAGGGAGTAGCAAAACGACGAGCTGTCTCGTTGATGGAGTTTTTTTTTTAGCAAAATTTTATTTTTTTTATTGCAAATTCGCATGGGAATGGTACTACTTACCACTGAGCCATCCACACCAGCCCAATCAATCATTCGTTCAAATTTTCACAAAATTATTTTATTTTTTTGATTTT